GAAGGATTTGTTTTATTTGCTGCTACGCAAAATAAAAAAAAATTAAAATTAAACAAACTATATCAAAGCACTTCAGGAGGCCTTTATATTGTTAACCTTTATGTGCTTGTAGTTTTGTAGACTATTAGTATAAAGCCTGGGTGTATGAGGGAATATAACCCGTGGATATAACAGCCATCCACGCAATGCCTATAGTTGAAGTCAGAATTATTAGCTGTCCTTTGAATCATTATTTTTTTATATATTTCAAAAATGATGTTTAAGCAAGAACATTTTCACAGTATGCCTGATAATATTTTTTTCTTCTAGAGAAAGTCTTATTTGTTTTATTTCGGCTAGAATAAAAGCAGTTTAACATTTTTTTAAGCATTTTAATGTCAATATTATTACCCCTTTTTAGTTATTTTTTTTTCCAGTAGTTTACAGCACAAACTATCATTATACAATAACTTGCCATGTCAAAGATAAAATAAATCAATTATTAGTAATGAGTTATTAAAACTATATTGTTCAGAAATGTGTTAAAGTCTTCTTTCCGTTAAAAAGATATTGGGGGAAAAAATAAACAGATCTCAACTGTATATCTACACCTATTAATGTAATAATTTGTACAATTGCACCTTTTTATGCAAACAATGTCAGATTACACACACAATTTGCAAATCTACAATGACATTTTAAAAATGAGATGTTTGTTTGAAGATGTACAAAAATAAATGTGAAAATAGTGAGACTTCTGGCAGAACGCCTACAAGATAAAACAAGCTTTTGTGTGTGACTGCGTTCATGCTAGAGCAAAAAGTCTTTTGATAGCTCCAGTTGTAAAGCTGCTTGATAAATCCATGTTTTTTTGTGTCTGTCAGGCTAAAGCCGGTGGGAAGAAGCTTCAGAAGGTGACGCTGAAGGTTTCTCCCCGAGGGATCATTCTCTACGACAGCGCTTCAAACCAGCTGATAGAGAACGTGTCCATATACAGGTACATGATCACACTGATCCGTCTGACAGAGTCTGTGCTGTCTGTCTCCAGAGATTCAGCTTTCACACTGTCAGAAAGGATCCTTTTACATCTCAAAACTGCAACACCATAATTGACAGTAATGTAAGCTAATTCAAAATACTCAGTGCTTTTTTTATTATTATTATTTATTTTCGAAACTGTAAATATTTCTGATTTATTATAAATTGCTGGAGAGCTTTTTAATGAAAGCAAATCATTGTGAAAATTACAAAAACAAAAATTAAACAAATTATTTCAAAGCACTTCAGGAGACCTTTAAAACGTTAATCTTTTATGTGCTCGTGGTTTTGTAGACTATTACTATAAAGCTTGGGTATATCAGGGAATGGTCTCAAATATCACTTTGTGTGTAATTGTTTTGAAAATTTTGTGTACGCGTTTCAATGCAGGCGGTTGTTTTTTGGTACAAGCTAATTAAAAACTTTCAATTTTAATAATACCAAAGGCCCACATGAAATTTGAGTGCGTGGAAATCTGCATTCTCTTAGCCCATCATTGAGTCTATGTAAATATATATTTCATTTATTCATTCATTTTCTTGTCGGCTTAGTCCCTTTATTAATCCGGGGTCACCACAGCGGAATGAACCGCCAACTTATCCAGCAAGTTTTATGCAGCGGATGCCCTTCCAGCCACAATCCATTTCTGGGAAACATCCATAACACACTCATTCACACTTATACATTACGGACAATTTAGCCTACCCAATTCACCTGTACCACATGTCTTTGGACTGTGGGGGAAACCGGAGCACCCGGAGGAAACCCACGCGAAGGCAGGGAGAACATGCAAACTCCACACAGAAATGCCAACTGAGCCGAGGTTCGAACCAGCGACCCAGTGACTTTCTTGCTGTGAGGCGACAGCACTACCTACTGCGCCACTGCCTCACCGTAAATATATATTTATTCATAAAAAAAAAAATACAGTCATTTTATAAACTAGTGTGCAAATGTTTTAAACAATTATTTCAGTTCTTATATAAATTTTATTTATGTTATATGGGGGACTTGCTTTTATTGCTGCACGATTAATCGTATTATGATCACAATAACCATATTTGTGGCCCACGATCAATAATTAAATATCGTCGTGATTTTACAGTATAAAGAGCAAGCCGTTATTATCGGGTCCGAGACGTCATCGACTTTCGCTTTAAGATTTAAAGGGCTAGCATTGCACCAGAACCCTTTAAGTGGTTTCGTTTGAAAGTGTAGAATCTATATTTTATGCAAATATTCATTAATTTGGTTTTTATTCTACTGTACAAAAGTTATTTTTTTTTCATTTAAGATATAAGTTACATGTGTCATGAAAAATATGAAAATTAACCAATGTAAAATACCCTACTCGGGTATCTACAATTCTGTGTATTTAAGTGTAAATAACTTTTGTACAGTAAAATAAAACCAAAGTGATGCATATGTGCTTAAAATATAGATTCTACACTTTCAAACAAAACCACTTAAGGGGGTCTGGATGTAAGATCCAGATGTAAGAGCAAGATGTAATGTAATGTGTATTTATATAGCGCATTTATTGTGTATGGCCATACACCCAAAGCGCTTCACAATCATGAGGAGGGGGGGTCTCTCCACACCACCACCAGTGTGCAGCATCCACTTGGATGATGCGACGGCAGCCACAGGACAACGGCGCCAGTGCGCTCACCACACACCAGCTATTGTTGGAGTGGAAAGACAGTGATAGAGTATCCCCTGGATAGATTTTTAATGACCACAGAGAGTCAGGACCTCGGTTTAACGTCTCATCCGAAAGACGGTGTCCACTGACAGTATAGTCCCTTCACTATACTGGGGCATTAGGACTCACACAGACCACAGGTTGAGCGCCCCCTGCTGGCCTCACTAACACCACTTCCGACAGCAACCTAGTGTTCCCTAGTGGTCTCCCATCCAGGTACTGACCAGGCTCAGCCCTGCTTAGCTTCAGTGAGTAACCGGTCTTGGGCTGCAGGGTGATATGGCTGTGGCCAGCAGGTTGTCTGTAGCTCTGCTCACGCACCGCCTCTTCGCCCTTGTTTGGTATCCCCTGGTTGGTGCGATGATGCGCGAACAAAATAGCGGCGGTTGGCCACGCCTACTGGTAGCTTCTTTTAGGTTCTTTAGAAACCTATGGTTGACCACACGGATACTATATCCATATTTTTTAAGGTCTATGATCCCACCTCAATAGTACTACAAGTGTTCTCCAAAGCACTAAACACATTAAGTACATTACATTTATATTCGGAAGTAAGTACATAACAGTTAAGGACACTTAAAATTTACATTTACATTAATCATTTAGCAGAGGCTTTTATCCAAAGCGACTTACAAATGAGGACAAGGAAGCAATTTACACAACTATGAGAGCAACAATGAATAAGTGCTTTAGGCAAGTTTCAGGTATGTAAAGAAAGTGTAAGAAGCAAAACATTAGTAATTGTTTTTATTTATTTATTTTTATAATGTAGTTAGTTGAGGAGTCAGAGAGGGAATTGCATATTAGTAAGGAAAGTGGAGACTAAATAAAGTGAGACCGAAATTTTTTGTTGCTGTGCTCTCAAAATCATACTTTTTTTTTTTTTTTTTTTTTTTTTTTTACACAATTATGCACAGAAATATCAATAAATGTCTGGACATTGTCTGGCCATAGTAATTAATTACTAACATGTGCCAAACTACTTCTAAAGAGGCAGTTTTTTTTTATTTTATTAAAAAAAGAAAAGGCTTTTTGTTGCACTCTGAAATCCTGCAGTCCATCATTCAGAATGGTGTGAGCTGCAGACTGCTGTGTTTTCCTCCAGACAGACAAAGAGAGAGAGATGTTATTGTCAAGATGCTCCATCGATCTGCTGTAGTGTCTCCGACAGACACTCTCTGACCCTCACCTGAGACCACCGCTATTATTGAATCCTCAGACGCCGTCTGTGCTGACAGTAATGAATAAACATGAGGGATTTCACCAGACGCTCGCTGCACACCAATTACACCAGCTGGGCAATCCTCATCAAAACATGAGCTTTCATTTCAACCCAAAATCAAAAGAAGCGGGGAATGAGAAAATGATGCTTGTATTTTGGTACAGCAAACCTTATTTTACACATAAGAACAGGCACCTACTTAAAGGAACACTCCACATTTTTTGGAAATTGGCTCATTGTAGTAATCCTCTAGTGCAGGGGTTCTCAAACGTGTTTTATCAAGTATCACCTCAGAAAAAAATTGTCTCTCCAAGTACCACCAAAATGAGCAGTATTGAAATACAGTAGTGTAGTAGGCCCAGTAAAGCAGCTACAACTCTGCACAGTAAAAAAAAAAACTAGGCAGATTACCTCAGAAATATAGGCTATATGTCATTTATAGCATATTATATACATCATTTTTTATCAATTTTGAAATGTGTGTAGCATATACATGACATATTTCATTCCTCCGCGTACCACTAGAAGGAAGCCTGCGTACCACTAGTGGTACACGTACCACAGTTTGAGAAGCACTGCTCTAGAGTTAATCAGTTTAGTTTTACCATTTTTAAATTCATTCAGCCGATCTTTGGGTCTGAGCACTTTTAGCTTAGCTTAGCATAGAGCATTGAATCGGATTAGACCATTAGCATCTTCTTCAAAATTTTAAAACATTTTTTTTGATAATTTTCCTGTTTAAAGCTTGACTTTTGTGTAGTTTCGTCATGTCCTAAGACTGATAGAAAATGTAAAGTTGCTATTTTCTAGGCTGACATGACTAGGAACTATACTCTTATTCTGGCGTAATGATCAAGGAACTTTGCTGTTGTACCACGGCTGCAGCAGGAGCAATTATATTTCATAGTAACTCTCTGAACGGCATTGAGGCATGTCGTAATTTGTCTCTTGTTCATTTGTACATGTTTAGCATACACAAATAGGAGATTATTTATTCGTCAACTCTGGTATTGTTAAAATTTCAGTGAACTTCTTATTTGCTTCTTAAAAAGAGTAAATACATACAATTGTATTTCAGACATGCCATGTGGTATCTGATTGGAAGTTAGCATCTTTAGCTAAAGCGTAAAATATTGGGGAAATGTCAGCTCTGTCAACTTTGCTGGTGGCTTAACAATAATTAAAATAACAATTTGCAACACAATCAAACATGCTTATTCTTATTATTTCACATCAATATCAGAATAGTGTTCTTCTGATTGGTCCACTGCTTGGGAACTGACATCGATGTCAGTGAAAATTGGAGAGGGGTCTGGATGCAGACCTGGTGCAGTGCAATCTGAGCTGCATCCAATGCTTTTTAATGGGCTCACTGAGTGATGCAATCTCAGCTTGCATCAAAAAGGCTGCATCCAGATACTATTGGAAAATTCTGACATTTTTAGGTGAATTATACCTTGTAAAAACAGTATGTGACTCTTTTAACGTAATTTGGCGATGTCCATGTTGCTGAGCAATGTGTGTGAAACATCGAAAAGAATGGCGGCCACCATTGCTTCTCTCCTGAACTTGAAAATAAGATTCAAGTTCGCTGGATTAAGATCGTCTAGGCAAGTGGTTCTCAAACTGTGGTATGTGTACCACTAGTGGTACGCGGGCTTCCTTCTAGTGGTACGCGGAGGAATGAAATGTCATGTACATGCTACATATATTTCTACATTTATAAAAAATTATGTAACATATAGCCTATATTTCTGAGGTAATCTGCCACGTTTTTTTAACTATGCAGAGTTGTAGATGCTTTACTAGACCTACTACGCTACTGTATTTCAACTGCTCATTTTGGTGGTACATGGAGGGACAATTTTTTCTGAGGTGGTACTTGATGAAAGACGTTTGAGAACCACTGGTCTAGGGGGTCGAATCGAGATCGCAATCTTTTTTTGATTAATTGTGCAGCTCTAATAAACAGTATAAAATATAAACAGTCACGCATCTCGATCAAGTTTACATAGAAAAACAATTTGAAGTTAGCATCTTTAGCTAAAGCAAAGACTAGTGGGAAAATGTCTACTGTTTTAGTGGTTCAACATTAATTTAAACAGCAGTTTGTAGCAAAATCAAATAATTGTCATTATTATTTTACATTAATGTCAGAAAGGAGTACTTCTAATTGGTCCACTGCTTTGGAACTGACATCGATAAGTGTTGTTGCATATAAAAGTCCAAATACTAAGTCACACACATCCTTAAAGTGCATTAAAATAGAAAAACAATGGAAAAGTAGCGCATTGGAATGGGGAAAAAGGGTTTCTTTGACAACAACAGAAAAACAAATGCTCAGCCGGCATTCCTGCAACACAAAAAACAGCGTCAGACCAGCCTGATCTCATGAGAAAACGTAAGTATTTTACGTTTTGCCAGTTTAGTGGCTAATTCGTACTAATTCGTACGAGTTCAGTCGTACGAAATGGTACGATTTTTAAAAGGAGGCGTGGCACCTGACCCCACCCCTAACCCCAACCGTCATTGGGGGATAAGCAAATCGTACTAAATTGTACGAATTAGATCGTACGAATTCATACGAATTAGCCACTAAATGAAAAAGTTACGAATTGCCGTGAGATTGTGTTGGTCAGACACACCCTTAGAAACTAAAACTGCCAGTAGGTGGCGACAAAATGTCTTCACAAAGACATCCGTTCACCTGATTCATTCAAATGTGGATTCATTCAGAAATGAAACCATGTTATGTGTTAATCGCAGGTGCACAACAGTTCTGCTTCAGCTTTATAGGTAATATCATTGGCAAAATTGATAAAACAGGCAAAGAGTGTGTGTGTCTGAAATATAACAGGATGATGGCCATCATTAGTCCCGCCCCTCACTGCTGTGTGCTGCACTTTCAAAGGCTGAGCCAGCTGTCACTCAAAGCTAAGGGGGGAAATCAGTACTGGAGGAGTTTATAAGTTTGTTGCACTTTGTCAACAGGAAACCAGAGAGCATGCGTGCAGTCATAGAGAAACTATCCTGTGTGTGTGTGTGTGTGTGTGTGTGTGTGTGTGTGTGTGTGTGTGTGTGTGTGTGTGTGTGTGTGTGTGTGTGTGTGTGTGTGTGTGTGTGTGTGTGTGTGTGTGTGTGTGTGTGTGTGTGTGTGTGTGTGTGTGTGGTATGTTAGGATAGTGCTGATTGAGTGCTGAATGCAGAACTGGTATATTTGGGTGTGTGTGTGTAAAGTGATTTAGCTGTGGATGATGGACTGTGGGTGTGTTATGCTCAATGGAGAACATCTGGAGTTGTTCCTCTTTTTTTCATTTACATTTTCATCTTTTTTTATTTTTATTTTTCATTCAAACAGAATATTTTAGGTTTTATGGCACTGCTCATCAAATGAAAGTGAGTATGAGAACATCTTCACTTCCATTTCTTGCTTTCACTGAAGCTCAATATTGGGTCAGGCTTTGATCATGTGCTGCTATCCTTAAAGAACCAAAAAAGACACAAACTCTCATCAATCTCAATTTTATCTCATTTTATCGATAATTAAGGCCCAATTCCAATTCTACCCCTTATTCAGACTGCAGGATTTTCAAAGTAGTGGCATCACAGATGTTTTCACACTGCATGACTATCTGGGCTTGCGTTTACACTGCAAGATATATGACTTTTAAAAGGGAAGGATCCATACCTGTCAACCCTCCTGTTTTTCCCGGGATTCACCCGTATTTTACAGTTCTATCTCACTATGATCCCCTAAAGGTATTTTCCTGTATTTCTCCCATATTTTCAGTCTTTCTCTGAAGGGTGGCAAATGAACATTAAAGAGCCGAGCCTCCCTATACGCAACCCATACCGCTGAACCACCAGGGGACACCCCTTGCTCTTAAATGCGAGTCTGTTCTGTGCTTTCGCTTTGTTTAGGCAGGAAAACACTTTGAAATAAACATAAAAACGGTGCGATTCCCTTCCTTTTCATTACAGGTGCCGTCACCCCTTCATATGCAATCCTCAAAACAGTCATATAGCGCTGCGTGACTGTCAGCTGACGCGCTCCATAGTGATAAATAAACACTGTTTCCCAAATGGATTCTGTACTCCTGATTTGAATCAGAGCAAAAGTCTAGGTTTTGGGTGCGTGTTTAAACAGATATACACATAATTAATAATAATAATAATAATATCTAAAGATGTCGATCTTGGTGGGTTTTTTTTTTCAAACACAAGTAATTTCGTCCTAAATGAGCATAAACAGTTAGGAAAGCAGTCGAATGCTTTCATTATAATGTAAAATGTGTGCATTTTTAAAGTGACACCTCTGTTATTTAATGTAATCAAACGAAAAAAATCTAAATAAATCATTCATTCATTCTTTGCCTTTTTAATCAGAATGTGTAAGTCATACAGTGAAGAAACGGCTAATGCGATTTGATTCTATTTCATTATAATAGCTATTAATGTTAATAAGCTGAACTGTTTGCTAATGTATTTGCTGCTAATGTATAATATTTATTTTTTCTTTTGTAAATAATAATAAAACATATTACTTACCATTTTACTGTTTATTTCCAACTAAAAAGCTCCAAATTAACATATTTAGTAGTTTGGTTTTTTTTTAAAGGGGGGGTCGGGGGAATCCCTTATTATGGTGGGCATATCCCTTATTTTTACATCCCAACGTTGAGGGGTTGACATGGAAACAACGCGAGGTCACGTACATTCTTTGTTATTAAGTACATAATGAGAAAGAAGCCTTTAGTGGGGTAAAAATGTACTTATTTTGCTCACCTGGCTTTGAAGGGACTTAGCATTTTCTCCCAAACTTTTTTCTTTTTTGACATTTTTTATGGCATTGCTCAGTCTTTGATAGTTCACATTGTGTGATTCTTACTCGCGTGAACGAGCACCTGTGATTTCAGGAATTTGCTGGTGATTTCTCAAGCTGTCAGCAAGTCAAAATCGGGGCTAAAATCATGCAGTCTTAACTCGGTATTAGCGCTTCCCCTTACCCGTTTTGCGCGTTCTCGTGAAGGGGTAGGGGTGTCTTTAGCCTGAAGGCGTATGGCTAGGGCGTATGGAAGTATATCCTGGACCATTTTTAAATGCAATTGCAAATCCTGCATTTCCATTTACGCGAACGCGCAGTGACTGAAACTCCAGACGCACCTGATCACGGTTACCCTGATGAAGGCAGCTCTCTGCCGAAACACATGTTTTTTAAAGATTAGCCATGTGAATAAAGGCATATTTCTAACTTTTCCACATCTTTCGAGTGCCTTGGACTGGTTTTTGTTATTTAATAAGAATATTTCATTCATTCGGTTCTAGGATGTGTTATTTTAGGATTCCCTTTCGTTTTTTAGAGCAGTATATTATTCCCAGAAAAAAAACATGACGCGTTAAATCAGCGGTCACCAATCCTGGTCCTGGAGGGCCGGTATCCCTGCAGGGTTTAGCTCCAACTTGCCTCAACACACCTGCCTGCATGTTTCAAGTATACCTAGTAGGACCTTGATTAGCTTGTTCAGGTGTGTTTGATAAGGGGTTGGAGCTAAAATCTGCAGGACACCGGCCCTCCAGGAACAAGTTTGGTGAGCCCTGTGTTAAATACTTATTTCGCTCACTGTAAATCCAAAGGTAGCGAATGAAAAAGCTACAAGAATAGTCTAGAAATATGAAAATCTTTACACTTTTGTCTTGTCTCATGTCTTGTGTGTAGGATATCGTACTGCACAGCTGATAAGATGCATGATAAAGTGTTTGCCTACATCGCTCAGAGTCAACGCAACGAGACGCTGGAATGTCACGCGTATCTCTGCACCAAGAGGAAAGTGGTGAGTGTGTGTGTTCATGTGTGTGAGACACTCCCTGTCTTTCCTCTCATCTATATATAGCATTATACGTTAAGACCACACTTCCTCTGACAGAAACACTGACATCAGAGCACTATGTTTCTCTCCATACACGCAAAAAAAAATGTGGTTTTAAAAGCGCTCTTCCGTTTTTCCCATCTGTTTCAGGCTCAGGCGGTGACGCTGACGGTGGCTCAGGCCTTTCGTGTTGCTTTTGAGTTTTGGCAGACTGCTAAAGAAGGTACAGTGCTCTCAAAGAGTTCTTTCCACTCTGTTTTATTATTTTCTCCAACTTTATTTATAGGTATTTTCTAAAAATGACCAAACATCAAACATTTTAGGACGTTACTGAACATTTTGACTAGGCCCGCATGGAGTCCTGTGCAGAAATCCACAGATTTTTACAGTTACTTCTGCAGATGTGTGTAAAGATACTCTATCTTACAAAGGTCTTGTCACTTATTTAAGTTTTAGGAGCAACAAATAACTTGACTTCTAGTTGTTCATTTGGGATCAGAAGTGGCTAATATGAAAGACAAAAGCCTCTAAAGTACTCTTATTTTACCAAAATAAAATAAGATCATGCCTTGATATTTTGAATCATTTCATTAGGACAGTAAGGTCTGAGTTTGCTTAGACAAAAGTCTTGTCACTGAACAGAAATAATGTACAGTATAGAATATAAAGTCAGGCGGCAGTGGAAACAGAATGAATATTGTGTCTGACTCCCATGAGCTTGGAAGACTGCATCCATACATCTCTGCACTGACTCAAATCACTTATTAATAAAGTCATCTGGAATGGCAAAGAAAGTGTTCTTGCAGGACTCCAAGAGTTCATCAAGATTCTTTGAATTCATTTTCAATGCCTCCTTCTTCATCTTACCCCAGACATGCTCAATAATGTTCATGTTTGCTGGCTGAGCTGGCCAATCCTGGAGCATCTTGACCTTCTTTCCTTTTAGGAACTTTGATGTTGAGGCTGAAGTATGAGGAGCAGTGCCATCCTGCTGAAGAACTTGCCCTCTCCTGTGGTTTGTAATGTAATGGGCAACACAAAATGTCTTGATACCTCAGGCTGTTGATGTTGCCATCCACTCTGCAGATATTACGCCCCAAGTCTAGGGGAAAACAACATGAGCATAATAAAGGAAAAAAAAACTAATTTTGTGGGTGGTGGATTTCCCAAACAAAACAAAAACTTAATGCCAAAGATCCCCTTCAGTCGACAACCAAACTTGGTTGAGAGTAACTAAATAGATTTATTACAGAAAATAGTCATTTTAAATGAGCATCTCTTCAGGGTGGCCACAGGCCAAAATAACAAACAAAAGAATCTACAAAGTAAATAAACTAAATTACCTACAAATATTTAAAGAAAAATACAGCTTACCTTCGTCCCTTAACATAAGCATAGTCAAAAGTAATCAAATAAATAGGCAGGCCACCCCTACAAGCTCAAACTCTCAAAAAGTTGAACGCATGAACAATGGTACAAGATTAAATGTTGGTTGTTGGCTGGAGGGGTAAGGGAAATCCAGGAGCTCCATTCCCAGCAACCGTCGCACCACAAATGAGCTCCCCGAACCCTGCCGAAAGTTCCTTTATATAGGCCTTCGCAACCAGCAGCCAATTAGACTTCTACTTACGTTAGAGTGGGAGCCTATGGAATAACAGAAAACAACACAAGAAGGCGGGACAAAGAAAAAGACACTTGCAATGCGCAACAAAACAAATAAATAAATAAACTTTAGACATAACAGCAGATCTCTCGCACACCCCTTACTGAATGTAACCCCAAACCATGATTTTTCCTTCACCAAACTTGACTTATTTATGTGAGAATCTTTGGTGCATGTGGGTTTTAGTAAGTCTTCAGCAGTATTTGTGATGATTGGGATGCAGCTCAACAGATGATTCATCTGAAATGTCCACTTTCTGCACTTTTCCTAACTAGAAGTCAAGTTATTATTTGTTGATGTGTATTGCATTTGCCACCCTTTATAGAAAGATTAAAAATACTGGAGAAATACATGAAAACACCTTTAGGCGATGATATCCGAATAGAATTGTAAAACACTGGAGAATTCTGGGAAAAACTAGACAGATATGGCCCAGCCCTGAAGTCACCCTCTTGTCAATTTCAGTTGCTCAAAATATAATGGCTCAACAATGCGCCTTAAAGGTTCACGAAACCCTCGAGTACTTTTTTTCAGATTTTAACAGATTAGTGTGTGTTGAGCATCAGTTAAGACTATGTTAGCACCTGTTAGCTTTTATTGTGGGAAAAACTGATCATTTTGAGCTTTTGTCAGCTAATTTCAGCTTCCGGGTTTAAAATGATTTTTGGGGTGGATCAAAATCAGCAACATAGACAAAAAGATGACGCATCAGATTCTCATTATTATTCATAGCTGAATTTTTTTTATCCTATGAGAAGAGCCGGCTTCTTAATTATTCATGACAGCACGTGCTTTCCTAAGGCAAGACAGACCTGCCAGTGCCAAACTGTGAGACACGGACCCACGGCACACAGTATTTAGCTGTTCATGAAGGGTCGTATGCGTTTGTTTCCATGATTCACAGGGCTTGTTGTATGTTTTCCCCGTGATGCTGTCAGGGCCGATACTGCAAAGCTGTTTGTGTGCCGCAAGTATTTTTGTCGGGAGAGCAGTACGAGAATTGGAGAATGGTGGACGTTGTCTTTTATCAGGAGTTTGTTCACATTTAGACACATCGTCATGCTGCTGTGTTCGCCTAAATCCTCAAGATTATCAACAGAGCTAATGGTTAAAACAGACAGGGCAAGAGATCTGCTGCACTGAGTCTGCATTCAGACCTATGATTCAGACCCAGGGATTGAAGGAAAAAGTCCTCATTTATAGTGTTTATATGAACACGATTATCTTTATAGCGATATAAATTGTGGTTATCGGTATATGAAATTACAAATAAAATAAAATTAAATAACTGTTTATTTCTTTGCATTTTAACTTTGTAAACTATAAAATCATGCGTCTCCTCATGGTTTGTGTCGACTGACAACAGTTGTTCGCTCCCCTCCTTCTCCCCTGCTCGCCAAAATTCTGAGGTAGACCTGAACTGACAGTGGGGGGTGTCATGACCCTTTAACACACCTCCTTTATAGACCGGCACACCCATGAGTCCACAAAATGGCACAAATGAATTTGCTATTTAAACAACGTGACGCAAAACGTGAAAATTAAGGCTGCGCTGGTCTGAAAATAGCAACACATCATGCAAAACACGTCTTGCGCCTTATTGTGTCGGGTGTATGATAGGGCCCTTAGAATTTCACACCAGGCTCTTTATCTAAAGGCGGTTATTATTTTTATCTATATTGCTCCGGGCCCTGTGAGTGTGTGCTTTTATGACTTTAAAAAAGGCAGTGGCTTGTAGACCAAGAAGAGAAGAATGGAGGATAAGAAAGAGATTTGAGTGTTTGGAAAGTAGAGCAGCTCCAGCCGTACAAATCAGCAGAACATGCATGTCATTTACTGCGTGTTTGAACATGCCTGCATGCGTGTCTGAGCTTTTATGTGTGTGTCTGTGAGTGTGCGCTCACATGTGTGTGTGTGTTTTGGAGATTATATACATGCACTAATGCATTACACTTTAACGAAAAGGAAAAATGATAAAGCATGCATAAAAAAAAAAACATAGGGCTTCTTGACAGCAGCTTCTACAGTGAGGTTTATCAGTGTGCAAACAGAAAGAGAAGCAGCCGATACTGCAGGAGGAAGATGTGAGGGTCAGAGTGGTCTCGCTCAGCAGAGTTTCTTCATTTCCTCCAGGAGCAGGCCACGGCTTCTACTGTGTTTCAGGGTGTTTCATTTCCATCTCATTAGTTGAGGAGAGATCAAGGCCAGCAGTGTTTTATGTAATGTGTTAAATATTCAAATGCACATTTAAGGCTGGTATCTTCTGGACCAGATGAACATTTACACTCACTGACCTCATTCACAGCAATGCAGATCTATCTATCTATGTATCCATCATTTCATCCATCTATCGTTCCATCCATCCATCCGACATTCCATCATTCTATCTATCCATCTATCATTTCTTCCATTCGTCCATACATCTTTCCATCATACTGTCTATCCATCCATCATTCCATCTATTCATCCATCCATATTTCCATCATTCGGTCTGCCCATCCATCCATCCGTCCGTCCATCCATCCGTCCGTCCATCCATCCATCCGTCCGTCCATCCATCCATCCATCCATCCGTCCATCCATCCATCCATACATACATACATACATACATCTATCCATCCATACATCATTCCATCATTCTGTCTTTCTATCCATCAATCATTCCATCCATCCATCATTCCATCCATCCATCCATCCATTTATCCATCATTCCATCATTCTGTTCATCTGTCCATCCATCATTTCTTCGATCCATTGACCCATCCATCATTCTGTCTATCCATCCATCCATCCATCCATCCATCCATCCATCCATCCATCCATCCATCGATCCATCCATCCATCCATCCATCCATCATTCTGCCTGTCTATCTATCCATCGTTCTATTCATCCATTTTTGTATCGTTCTGTCTAGCCATCATTTGTTCCATCCATTGTGCCATCCATCGCTCCATCCATCGTTCTGTCCATCTATCCATTCATCGTTATATAATTGTCTGTCCATCCATCCATCCCTTCATCCATTGTTCTGTCCATCCATGCATTCATCGGTATATAATTCTCTCTGTCCATCCATCATTATATCATTCTGTCTGTCTAACCAACCACTCATCTATATATATATATATATATATATATATATATATATATATATATATATATACTGTAATTTTGTCTATCCATCCATCCATCCATCCATCATTATATCATTCCGTCCATCCATCCATCCATCCATTGTTGTGTTGATCTATCTAACTTTGTATTGTTCTATCTTTCTATCGTTCTACCACTCTATCAATCATTCTGTTGCTCTATTGTTCTATATATCATTCTATCATTCTATCGTGCTATTGTTCTACCTGTCCATTCCTCCATCTGTCTATCTATTTATCTATTGTTTTATTTATAGTTTTAATGTTCATTCTTTCTATTGTTCATTCCATCACTATCTGTCATTTATTCTAACATTCTATCTATCGTTTTTTCTATCATTCTAGCTATCGTTCATTCTATTGTTCTATTGTCCTATCTGTTGTTCTATCTATCGCTTGTTCATCAGTCTATCTATTTATCTTTTGTTCCATCTATAATTCTTATATTCATTATATCTATTTTCATTCCATCACTCTGTCATTTATTCTATCATTCGTTCATACGGTTGATGTATTGTCCTATCTGTTGTTTTATCTATCTATTTTTCTATATATTGTTCTATCTATCACTCAGATGAAGAACTTGTTGACTGAATGCTTTATGTCACTGCACCATTCTCATGTTTCTGCTTTTACACTCTTGTTTTCAGAGAAAGAGAAGCAGGTGAAATGTGGCTCAGATGGAGAGGCAGCCAGCAGCTCTCAGTCCGAGAGTTCAGCCAGTCTGAGCAGCATGAAAGGAGGTGAACACACACACACACACACACACACACACACTCACACACATACCTGTACACGCATACACACATACATCACATGCAGCAGCACAACTTTAGCATTGTTGAAATCAAAATATGTTGCTAAAGCAAATGATCATGAGACACTGAAGCCCGGGGTGATGATGCTGACAATTCAGTTTTGAATCACAGGAATAAATTACATGTTTTCATTTCACAACACGCCAACATCATCTTGACTGAGCTGTCCAGAGAGGGTGTGGATGATAATACCAGGGCATTCTGAAAAAAAAAAGATCCTTCCAGTGGTAATACTAGTAGACCCAGGGATGATCATCTGACACCATCACTGAGCCATGGTGCTTTTTTTGTTAGAGTGCCAAAGGACCCTGAATGCTTCTCAGTTTGCCAGGTTACAGAAATAATCTTAGATGACAGAGTCGAGTGAACGAATGAACCCTTGAGGACCAGCCATCCGTGTGCTAGAGACAGACACGTGTGTATGTGTGCATGAATAAAGCCCTGTGTGTTCCTAAATCCCATCAGATATCAGAAACATGAGTCCTACAAACACACACGGGTTCGTTTTGGTGGTTTATGAGGACTGTTCATAAACATAATGTATTTTATTGTTTAAAAAACACATATTATACACTAAAAAATGCTGGGTTCCACACAATTCCTTCATGTTATCCCAACACAAATAATCAAGTTAACATAATCTTTTTTACATGGTGACGCAGTAGGTAGCGCTGTCGCCTCACAGCAAGAAGGTCGCTGGTTTGAGCCTTGGCTAGGTCAGTTGGCATTTCTCTGTGGAGTTTGCATGTTCTCCCCATGTTTCCTCTGGGTGCTCAGGTTTCCCCCACAAGTCCAAAGACATGCGGTACAGGTGAATTGGGTAAGCTAAAATTGTTTGCTATGTATGTGTGTGAATGAGAGTGATTGGGTGTTTCCCAGTAATGGGTTGCAGCTGTAAGGGCATCCGCTGCGTAAAACACATGCTGGATAAGTTGGCGGTTCATTCCGCTGTGGTGACCTCAGATTAATAAAGAGACTAAGCCGAAAAGAAAATAATTAATCGTTTTTACAAATTTCAGGTATGAAAATGTGTGACTGTGCTTTTTAGTCCTGAAACGTGTCTTGGCTTGATGTTGAGGATTGATTCTCTGCATGCCCAGATCTGTATCAGTGGAGGTGGGAAAGGATATTATTCAGGGTCTGATTTATGAACTACAACCATTGTGCTCACCTTGTGTTGCTGCAGGAGGACAGGAAGTCTTTATGTAGATTAAAAAATAAATCTGACACCTTATAAAGTTCATTAGCCTAACGCAGGGTTTAAGACTAAGTCTAAGACAGTGGGCCTCCCTTTTGACACAACTTATCCATTGGCGCCCCCCTCCTCCCATACACGCACGCACACACACGCACACGCACACACACACAAAAAAAGTTCTGGAGGTTTTTCTGCTAACTCATCATGCTTGGTTTCAAGGTGTCGCCGAAGTTTAGCAGGTCTCATGCTGTCATTAGCCAAAATATCTTGACAAACCACACATAAAGGTCGTTGTTCATCAGCTGGTCTTGTCCACATAAATCCTAACCTCAAATACTGACCATCATATCGTCGTCTTTTGGGTTTAAGCCCTGAACTTGAAGGCTTTGAATCGGGGGGTCTCAGAAACAGATCCATTGTATTAGCAGCATGATTAGCAGGCATATACCTGTATTGGCGGGCTTGCCAAACAGAAGCGAATTCACAGCTATGGCCTTCTGGGTAAAAAAGGTTTTCTTATTTTTGACGTATTATTTTTTTTTGCTTTGTTTAATTAAAACGTTTAAAAATAATAAAAAAATACATATAATAATTAAACTTAATAATTATATTTTTATTATATAATATTTTTTCCCGCGCCTCCCCTGACATGCTCTGGCGCCCCCGTGGGGATGCGCACCTCACACTTTGAAAACCCCTGGCCTAACGGAAGGCTTGTTGTGGTTGCCAAAGAACAAATAGGAATTTGTCAACAGCTTCAAATTTGGCTCATCCAATCAATCCTGGGATTCAGAACTGTTCGATTTTTTTTTTAATGTGTAAATATTCATTTGTGCATGTAGCCATTTATTTCGTCTCACAAATTTAATTTCTTTCTTTCTTTCTTTCTTTCTTTCTTTCTTTCTTTCTGTCTGTCTGTCTGTATTTATTCATATATTTATTTGTTTATTCATACATTTATTAATTTATTCGTTGCTTTGCTTTAATTTTTCTGCATTTAATTGAACTTATTTTACTTTAATTTCTAAAAAAATATTAAAATAATAATTTCTGTTTTTCATTTATTTGTTTTAATGAATTCTGATTATTCGCATCTATAAACTTTTATTTATTTGCATTTATTTTATAGAATAACTAAAACGCATTTACATTTTTGCTTATTTATTTATCCATTTATTTTAACATGCCTTTAATATATCCACTTGTAATCATAAATTAAAATTTATATTTAATTATTGCATTTATTTACACATTATGAATTATTTTGTAACATTTAATTATTCATGTGTTTATGCTTTGTGCAGAGGTGGCCACTGGGGATCTACTGGACCTTGAATGTGGTGTTAAAGATCGCTCAGGGAAAGACGCCGCACACCCTGTACAGAACCACAGCACAGAGAACAACAACACTGTATGGGTAAGAACACACTTACACAAACAAACTGTATTATTTTTATTATTAAAATAACAAAAAAATATTAGTAATCTTTGTGGTGTTTTGCAGGAACTTGAGGATGGTCTAGATGAGGCTTTCTCAAGGTTAGTACAATTATATATCTGGTACTGTAAAGTATAACCTCTCATTGTAACTGATACACCAAAACTGCACTTTCACACCACAACACCCTGTGCAGTGAACTTTATTATAACTCCAGCACAGATGTGGAGCACAGGGCACGACTATTCTTGGTGCTCCATTTTATTTTCACAGCGGTATTTATGATGGACACATTCAGCTCTGAGAATAAACTCTTTGGTTTCTGTTTTTTTTTTTACTCCCCACTAGTAGTTCATGTTCTGGAGTTGAAACAGAGCTATTCAGAGAATTGGTGTAACAATTTGTCAGATCGTTCCTTAGAAGTTGATAAAACTAAAAGTTAAAATGTCAGATTTAATGGCTTATATTTCAGGCACTCCACTTTTTGTAAGCTGTGAAATTAGCAACAGCGTACATTTTGCATTTAAAATATTAACTATTGGTAACACTTTATAATAACTACACACTATAAATCATTTATTAAGCATAAGCAAATAGTGAATTCATTATCCATTAAGCATTAACTTTACATTAATAAACGTAGCAGTTTATAACTGCAGCTACAAATGCTCTATTCTTGACTTATAACCACATTTAAAATGTGCTTAATAATTTTATTTTCATACTTAGTAAATGATTAATTTTTCATTACTAAATTAAGTATTACATTATTTACAAACCAGTTGTATTTAAGAGTAGTTGAGGGTTTTTAGGATCATTCAGAATGAGTTAGTAAATGATTAATAAACTATTGAAATCAACGTTTATATGTCTTATTCAGGCATATACTAATAGTCAACTAATATGTTAATAAATGTTTTATTAACTCAACTTCATGCAGTTTTGTGACCTAATCTAAAGTCAGGACTGTTCATGCTTTATAAATCGCTTATAAATGACAAATAAAGGCTCAGTTAAATTCTATATATCTAGTATATATATATTCTATATATTCTAGATATTTGGGCTAGAAACCAGACAAAAAGCATTTTATTACAGTGTATAAATAAACAGGGATTAGGAATATGGAATATGAACCACCATTTTGCACCTTTTTCTCAGTTAAGTATGTATTTATGGTCACACTTTATTTTGATGGTCTGTTTGTTGAGTTACAGTGCATCTACATGCCAACTAATTCTCATTAGATTATAAGTAGGCTGTTTGATTGGGGTTGGGGTTAGTGTAAGTTGACATGTACATGCAAAGTATCTTATAGAATACACACGTTACAGAATACACACATTCACACATTAAACTCAGACAGAAGAATGTTTAATGTTAGAAAATCACACAGCAATAATCTCAAGATCCTATGAAGAAAACTAGGACCTCATAAATTGAGCCTTTCATTAGAACGTGTGTGTGTGTGTGTATGTATGTATATATATGTATGTATATAAATATATATATATATATATATATATATATATATATATATATATATATATATATATATATATATATATATATATATATATATATATATTATACACAACAGTTCTGTCTGGTTCTCGAATCTGATTTGCTGATAGCAGTGATAGCTGCTGATAGCACAATTATGCCGTCAAAGTGTTGTATAAATGCAATATCACACGAGTAGCAGTGCGATATGGCTGTATATCGGCACTGGAGGGGGCACTAAGGCATGCCTCCCACCAGTGCTGA